TATGGGGCTTTACTTTGGTACAAAGTAGCATTAGTATCACTGCTTCCATGAACCAGGAAACTTGCATCAGGGACTTCCACTGAGAGAGAGGGAGACAGGATAAGGGAAGAAGGGAGAGAAGGAAAGAGGCCGTAGAGTGAGAAAGGGGGACTACGAAAAGAATATTTGTAGTTTTAGCATTTCATCCTGGCGACATTTAACAATGTACATTGATTGATCTCAGCTATCTGCATTAGACCCTGTGCTTTTTTCCTATTCTTGAAAAAAAAAATGTTTTAGGTGTCCCTAGTAAGAATTTACATCCCTACTCTGAAAGTTGTGCATATAAACCAAAGTCAGCCAGAAGGTAACAATACAAACATACCTGGTATGCAAGTAACTTTTAACTCAAAGGACACTAAGCAACAAAGGCTCTAGAATGAACATCCCAATTAGCTAGTGTAGTGACAAGCAGTCAACACCTTATTATTTAATCATTAAAGAGAATCTTGCCATAATTTCCCTCTGACATATTGCAAAGCAAAAAAAAAAAGAAGGAATTAAGAATGCACCATATGACTCACAGCAATAATCAAAAATAGAGTTAGACGATGCAAATACCTCATCCCTTGCAACGCTAAGAACAGCCCTGTACCAGAGAGGTTTCAGTACTGAGGACTCCCAGGATTGAGTCATTAAGTGGGACCCTCTGAAGCATTTACAATTTAAATAAGATGTATCCAATGGAAGCATTTAATAGGGAACTACCTGACAAAGAGAGTTCCTTGCTTCCTGCTTTTTGTTTTTGGTTATTTTTTATTGAATGAAAATAAATGGCAGGCATTTCTAATATTAGTAAATATCTGGTATTAGTAAATATCTAATATTACTAAATGTCCCTATCTATATTTTTTCTTTCTTTCTTTCTTTCTTTCTTTCTTTCTAACCCAGCAGATTCAATCCACGAAGGGCATTAGTTGCTCTGTACCCTCCGCAGCAGTCCCTTACCTGACACCTCCCCAGGGGAAAGAAAAAAAAAAAAACTAAGTTTTCCCAGGATGCATTGCTGAATCATTTTGGGAAGAGAGGGAGTAATGCTTTGTATATTGCTTTATTTTTTAGTCAAGTCCGACTTCAATTTTAAGAATTATAATCCAAAATATGCTTCGGAAAAAACATTGCAAAGTTTTGAAATAAAACACTCGCCACCACAGTTCCCAGGCGTACTTCTGGAGCCAAAATGCACAGATCCAGTTCTGTTACACATGTCCCAGGCTCACACAGCTCAGAGGCCTGGCCCTTGTCCCCTTCCCTCCCTTACCTTTCCTTACTCCCACCCCAAGGAACTGCCCACACTTGGCATTTGACCTGTCTGGCCTGGCCAGCCTGACTTTCATCCCATCTCCACGCCCTGTTACTCCTCCTCAGACATCAGAGGCAAATCTGGATTAGCAAGCAACAGGGCAGGAGCCCTGCACAGCGGTCAGCCCTCTCTAGGGGCTGGTAAGTGCAGACTCATCGGAGGACCCACACACACCACTCTGAGCCCGTTGTTGAATTAAAAAACAAAAACAAACGATAAAACAAAACAAAAATCTGTAATCCAAGGGGATCATTTCTCTGCTTCCCTCTCCTGGTGGTCAAGATCAGGGCCACTGCTGCTGTCTGATCAGATCACAGTCCCAGTTCATCTCTATTTGCTGTGGACAGCCCTGGCCACCCCAGGAGGCGACCTTAGGGACCCTCTCCACAATTTGTTCCTCTCCCTACCGCTGCCCGGAGTTGAAAATGCTTATAATCAAGGGGTGCAAAGCAGCCATCTCGGGAAGGAAAGCCTGGGCGGTTGGACCAGGGTCCTGGAGGACCACCTTCTGGGTAGCACCTGGATGGCCAGGCCCTCCTTTCTTTGCTTCCACCCTCTCAGGCCTTCATTTCCACAGATGAGCCCTCAAGTCACTCGCCCAGCCTCCCCAGGGACCCGCATTCTTGCTGGCTGCCAACCAGACCAAACTATGGTTGACGCCTCATAGTGTGGTGGCCACCTTCTCGGGCCACCCTAGGGTCCAGCCTGGCCCTGCATGCGCTCAGCCGAGGTCGGCAAGTCCCAGGCGCCCGCCTCCCGCACCCGGCCTGGGAGAGCGCAGAGCCTGGAGCGCAGCGGACGGGAGAGGGCGCCCCGGAGGCCGGCACTGCCCAAGGTGGCTCTCAGGCCCTGGGACCCTCAGCCTGAGGGTGGGGAGCGACAGAAGGGAACCAAGGGGTGAGGAAGAACAGGATTAGTTTCTTGTGGTGTCTTAATCTCATACACACACATGCAAAATACCCAAACCAACAACACTACATGGCCAAGTGGGTTTCGGCTGATTTAGCCCTTCGGGAAACTGATTGGCATCCAAGTAGCAGATCCCACACACGGCGCAGGTGGCAGCCTTTGTGTCCTCCGAGGACAAAAAGTAAAATAAAATAAACCTCGCCGCCAGTGGCCCCTAGAGACAGGGGTTAATGAGCTAAGGAGGCCACAGCCGATGCACCCAGTCCGGGGCGCACTCTGCCAGGTTCATACCAACTGGGCCGCCTTCAGACAGGTGGAGAGGCCACCTATCAGCCTGGCCCCTGCGCCCGCTGCAGGGTTTCAACGCCCTTGGAGACCCGACCCAGACTCCGGTGTCTGGTGCCTGAATTCTCCCCTCTCCGGGGACTTCTCCCAAGGTGGGGCGCTCTCCAGCGTGTGAGCAAGGCACAAGACCGCGGGAGCCCCGCGCTCTATGTTCCCCTCTCCAAATCCAGCCCAGACCCACTAATTCCTGACTCCTAAGAACAGGGAAACAGAAAAAAAATGGGTTTGTTACTGTCCTACCAACTGAGGCCTGGTGACCCCAAAGGATCACAAGAGCTAGCCCACGCATATAGGCCATCAGCCCCACAAGCCCAGCCAAAGCTAACAAACAGCGGACCAGATGCATGACTCTCATAGGTTGAAAAGAATGAAATGAGCATTTTTACCCAATACAACTGCACACCATTTTTTGCATATCTCAAATTAAGGTGACCGGGTAATGAAAGTTTACACAAGGAAAAAGGAGAAATCAATGAGGTTGCATCAATTTTGCATTCCCCCAATAAATCTCATAACTTTGGTCCTTTATCTTTGACTTTAATAAAATAATGATTCGTCGAGAAAATGGGGTATAAATCTTCATTTTGGAGGCAATTAAAGTGTTGATTTCATTCATGCCCCTAAGCGATTCTTGTAATTTGTTCAAATAGCTTTATGTACCCAGCACTCCGGAGCTTTTAGAATCCCATTTTCTAGTTAGGCTTGTTGGATTACAATTTTTATTCAACAGCAGCTACCCAAGGGTTCCTCTGTGGAATCTGCGTGTAACAGCTCGGGCTAGACAACCCAAAGGCTGGGGACGCCCACTAGCCGGCAGGACCAGGGCAGAGAGCCGCCTCAATTTTCCCACCTCGGCCCATGCACCCCGGAATGCACAAACTGCCTGTTCCGTGCATCGTGCATCATGCGTTGTGTCTACACTGCCAAAAGTTTCCGACACTCCAAATAGTGACGGAGGACCCAGCTAATGCTTTTAAGCTCTGCCTCACTCCTCATAGACAAGGAGGAATTCCGCCTGGGTCTTAGGGTTGTCCAGAAAAATTCGAGACTGACATTTATTTTAAGGGCATGTTGTTGGGAGAAGACACCTTAAGATGACAAGGAGGAGAGGGATGGGACCAGGGCTATCCAGCCCACAGGGCATAAGCAGAGCTTGCAAAGGAAAACTGTAGCCGGCCTTTGGCTTAACAAAGGCAGGCAGATCTCTTCTCCCAGGGAGAGACTCCCACGCCAAGTCCGAGAGAGAAAGAACTCTCGGGGCCTTCACTTATATGGAGAAGGAGGAAGAAGAGGCAGCTCCCCAGATCTCTAGGCTCCTTGTAAAAATTCGTAACAGAGCTATCTTGGGCCCTGCTTCCTCTCACCCACCCTTCACATTTCCATTTTCATTGCAGTTTGGCAACTCATTTAGACCAATCTAGAGACAGTACAAGAGAAACAGAGAAAGTAGGAGCAAATGGTGGTGTCAGGGTGACAGCCGGAGAAAAGCACCCCCCTCCCCACAGCAACTTCAAATAAAAGTCTTCCCCACTTAGCAATGCAGGAAAGAAGGACCTGGAGTGCGGGTGCCCAGGAGGGTGCTGCAAGCAAAGGGCAGAAATAGAGAGCACAGCGGTGCTGGGGGGCCCCACCCTCCACACCCAGGAGCTGCCAGGGTGTCCCCCAAGCTAACACTTCAGAAAGCTGCCAACCCAGAGGGCCCAGAGCACGCACGTACCAGCTGGAGGATGAGCAGAAAGGAGGAGGAGAAAAGTCCATATTTCTGTTTTTCTAACCTCGGCCTGGTCTTATTTTTTCTACTAAGTACAATAAAATGGGCGAGCTTATAGCGAAGACTGCACAAAGCAATGTTCAGTGAGGTCTAGAAGCGTCCGGCCGAGGAAAACTGACAAGACAGGCTAATGAACCGTACAGACAGGGAGAAAATAGCCAGCATTTGCTAGATTTCAAACCCTCACTGTCTCTCTTAGACCACCTATCTTGGATTTATTCCTAATAAAATAAGAAATAAGCAGCCCCTACACATTTCTTTTCTTCAAGATAGAAGGAGGAAAATGCTCCTGAACAAAGCCATACAATCACAGGCGGTCACTGGCAGTTAACACTCCCATTATTATAGAGGGTAAATAAAATAAAGACAAAAATTAAAAGCGACAAGAAACAGGTCAAGTTTGCAGGCGAAGCTTTTACAAGCCCATCTCTCCAGGTCGAATCCCAGAGCCAGCCTTAATGAAGCAATAATAGCCACATTATTCAAAAATTTTCATTTCGATGGAAATGTATCTAAAAGGGACTTAATCATATGCAAATAATAAAAGGAGGTGATAGTGACCCAGCAAGCAATATGCATACAGATTTTTTTTTTTATTTGGTGCCAGGGATGTTGAAATTGAAAAGCGCATACCTGGTCAGTTAGATTTGCTGATCTTGTTATATCTTCACTGTCTGATTTTGATCCTCCTTCTCTATCGTCTATCACCAAATCGATAGGCATTTTCCCTTTCAAACAGCTAATATACCGGTGGCAGAAATTGTCACATAATTCGTGTACCTACATTATGACAGAAATAAAAAATGGAAATATAATCAGGAGTACATAAATGACATTGACAAGTGCAATCCACCCCCCTTGTGAGATCCAAACTTCCAAATAGGGGAAACACAGGGCAATTGTCCTCCAGAGACCCCCCGACGCATCCAGAATTAGGAATAACTTTCTTTTCTTGCAAAATAGAGATATCCCAGAAAATTGACAGTGACAAGATGATTCACAGGCTACAACATATTCAACACCCGTGTTAAATTCATCTGCTCCTGGGGCTGTGGCCATTAGAGAGGTGACCTGTGGGGGTGACATTTAAGGTAAACTATTTAATTTCATCCAGTTACTTTATCATAAATCCTTTTCCAAAGTGTCTAAGGAAAAAAAAGGAAATATATATATATATATACACATATAATCTCTAAAGGACCTGTACTGTGGTGACACAGGATATATGCCTGACAACCCACCCCTATAACGTTTGTAATAATTAGGATTTGTATCCATAAGGAGAATATTTGGGATCCTTTAAAAAGAAATCAATTTGCCAGTACCCATATTACGAAAAACCTATAGCCACAAAACCTTCTGAAATTGCTTTTTTTTTTTTTTCAAAGGAACAGAAGGACTAAAAATATTAAGGTGTAAGTGAAGTGGTCACTTTCAGGTCCCAGACATCACTGACAATCAGAATTTCACAAGAAACCCCCGCATGCTTGCAATTTAATGTTAGTTTGAATTACAATGCATTAAGTTTTTATGGCTGAGATTTATAGAACAGCTAGCAAAATCATGTTATCCCACACCCTTTCTTGAGTGTGAAGGTAGAGGGTATGCAGGATTCTCAGATTCAAGAAATTGCCACAATTATCAGCCCGGCTTTGTCTCTGGGAAAGGTTTAATGTGCCTGCCCCCAACCAACTTCTCCTGTCTCCCTGCTCAGTCCACTACCTCCCCCTCCACCTCTTCTGTGACCTGCCTCTGCTCTGGAGCTGTCGTCCAGAAACTCAGAAAAACTAAACAAAACTTTTATTTTCCCTCCTCAAAGAAGGGGAGGACACAAGGAGCCCAGAGAGGTATTAACCTGGGAAGCAAGCTCACAACAGCATTCTAAACATCAACTCGGAAGCACACAATTGCAACTATTTACACAAAGCCAGCAAGGTATTAAAGCAGGAACACAAGGCTAGGGCGTTTGTGATCCTGGTTTTAGTGGCTGAAATTGTAATTAAACTGAGAAGAGAAATGGATGCTAAGATTGGCCTTGACACTAATTACCAGAAAGAAAGACATTTATGCAAATATCTCAAAAGCCTGAAGTTCAGCCATTCTGAAGCCTCCCCTCATGTGTTTAGGGGTTAGGGTGAAGTAAAGGGAAAGAGGCCAAAGAAATTACCTTCTCTAATTCCAACAGATGAAACCTTAATACTTGTATGGCTTGAATCATCTGCAAAGACACAAAAAGAATGAGTATCCCATTCCTAGTCTGCAGAAAATTGGCTATCACAGCTCTTGCATCTCCGGCCCATCTCCTCCCCCAGTAAATAGAGTTATTTTGATTTATGGCAATACCACTAAAACTTAATAGCAGTGACTGGGTACCATCTAGAGGTTTATATTTCTTAAGGAGAAAATATAACTAAAACAACAACAAAGCATCTAAGTGGGGGTCATAAACACTCTCCTCCTCCACAGCTCTCCCCTTTCTCAATCCCACTGGCTCCGCCCCAACCCCAAAGGGCCACAGGGCTGGGCTAGAGGTTTCTTTGGAAGAAGTGAATGGGAGAGACTTCAAATAGACCCCAACTGTGGCTCTTCACATTGCAAACTTTCGGCTGCCTCCTGCACACCTTTTAGGTAAACTGGTTGCTGAGGGGCTCTTGCCTGTCCCTGCCTTGGTGTTGAGACTTGGAGCGCAGGGAAGTCCGCAAAGTTTAAGATCACAAGCTGACAGGCCAGGAGATAAATCCCAGCGCTGATTAGAGCCGTGCAACCCGGCTGTCATAAAAAACAAAAGCTCGCATTTCCCCTGGCCAGCTTGCTCAGGCCCTCTTGAGATGAATTTATTGGCCTGGGATCTTGTCCCTCGGTCACTTGTCCGTGGACCAAAACATATGCAGCCCAGTGGACTCGCAGCTACGGAAAGACCAGTCTAGAAACCTCAGGGCTCTTGAAGAAAAGCTGAGGAGGCTGGGGGTGGGGTGGGTTGAAGAGACAGACGGAGGCAGGGAGTAAAGGGGTCAGCTCTTACCAAGTTATCCAGTTCTGGATTAGAAGAAAATAGAGGTTTTTCTGCGCGAATCTAAACACAAGTGAGAAGGACAGGGGAGAGGGAGGGGGAAGAAAAAGAAAGAAAATATTTGAAATCTGGTCATCTTCCTAGTTTCACATCTTAACACACTGTCGGGGGCCAGGTGTAACCTTCCGGAGGGACTCGGTGACTCTGTCCCACGCAGAATCCCTTCAGAATGGATCAAGCCCAGAAGCAGCCCAGGGCTCAGCCTTACTTCCACGACCCAGTAGGCTGCTCCGGGAGGCTGCTCAGTTCTCCAGACCAGAGCAGCTACAGGGTGTGGGGGGCGTGCTTTTCTTTTATGGACTGAGCTTTCTGTCTCAGCTTTGTGGAGAGGGAGTGGGTTTAAAGATGGGTGAAGTTATCTGCAAACATACTTCTACAGGAGGGCCATTTCAGGGTACATGCAACGCACAGGGCTTAGGGTGGACTGTCTATCTATCTGCTGACCACTTTGGGAATGTGCTTGCCGAGTGTGTGTGTGTATGTGTGTGTGCGTGCTTGTGTTTTGTTGGGGGGAAGAGTCTCTTTTTTCTTTCTTTTTTTCTTTAATAACATTTATTTTGCTGACCTGTTTGGCGAACACGGCTATATCTTCATTGAATGACTCTGAGGAGCAGACGTCCCCGCCCGCCACCCCCGGCTCGCGGGGGGTACAAGTAGCTAATTCACATTTCTCAAAAATCAGTGCTAACAGAGGGAAGAGAGGGTGTCTGTAAGAAAATACAACAGTCACAAACAACACAATGGTTAGTCCCGAGTCAGGGTAAAAAGGCGCCCAGGAAAAGCAGCCTGGCCTCCAGGCAGAGACCCCTCCCTGATTTTGTCATCTACTTTTCCCCTCTCCTGCCCCCCGCCCAGGTGACTGCTCACCTCCCCTTCCTCCTGGGCTCTGAAGTCAGAGGCCCTGAGCCCCTGGACCGTATCTGATGATCGGTTCAACATCTCTAGCCAGAGAAATTGGCAACATTTGCTACGAATCAAACCCCAGCGGTTGGTTCCAGCAGCCATTTTGAATTAAGTTTCCCACCCCGACCGACCCTGGTCCCTGGCTGCTCCTGCAGGACCTGGGGCAGGAGCTGGGCGCTGGCCGAAGCCAGTGCGGGAGCTGCTTGGTGTTGGCTCCGCCAAGGCGGCCGCGCAGAGCCCAAGGCTCTGAGGATCCCAGTGGCAGGCGCCCAGCTAACTAGAGCCCAGGACCTCAGAGGCTGCAGGACCCACTGTCACAGGGCTGTACCTTCAGACCCCTACCCTGAGGCCCTTGGCCCCTCCTCAGCTCCTTGAGCCCTCCCCTCCCTCCGTGGATGCCCCCCACGGCCCCCCAAAGAAACTTCCTTCAAATATCCCAGTGGCCAAGCCTTTCATTTTGTCTCTGCAGAGGGGCACAGCAGTAGTATTGTGAAGGGCCTAGATGTCGCTTGTCTCAGCCCATAAAAAAGAAAAGAAAAGGAAAGGGGGGAAAAAAAGCTTCTTCTAATGCCCAAGGAGGTGTCTCCAGTCTTTTATTAGCTCTCACAGCCCAGGTGGAAATTTAATAGTTTGGGGTCCTTTTCAAAGCTTCCCCAAATGTTCTGTCCCAGAGTCTAAACCATTTGCACTTAACACTATGGACAGAAAGCTGGGATTTAAACCAGGCTCTTGCATAAGGGACTGGGAAATAAAATAGAAATATTTCCCCCCCAGCAAAAAGGGTCAGTGTTGCAAGATTTTAAAAAGAAGAAATAAACAGAAATAAAAGAGTTACTGCAAAGTAAAAAGCGGTCCCAAAATTCATCAGCACATAGTAGGCACAACTGACTTTCAAAAGGCTTCTTTCTTTCTTTCTTTTCTTTCTTTCTTTCTCTCTTTCTTTCTTTCTTTTTTTTTTTTTAACTAGTGCAGGGTCTAATCGGATAGCCAGTTAGAACACGGTGTAAGCAGCGGCCAAAAACCTCTGGCCGCAGAGCACCCGGCATTTACTTCTGGCTAAATCCTACAGGATTCGCTTTTGAACACAAAGTGCTAAAACGACTAGAAGTTTCTTAGTGTCTGTAACAATTCAGCGTGAGCTCCTCTCCTTGACTTCAGTGGTCAAACCCCCTAAATGCAAAACATGTTCCCCCTTGCCTGACCTGCAACTGTCCGCCCTTGGCTGTATTGTGCAGTGGCAGAGGCAGCATACGGTTGCTGAGTAAACTTAGCAAGTCAGAACAATCGGTGGCTTAAAAGATTTTCCCTTAAACTAAAAGTTTCGTTCCAACACAAAGGCGCCTGCGTTTTGAAACCCCCAGCGCTCTGGAGCGAAAGAGAGCTGGGGAGGATCGGGATCCGCTGAACCGGAGGCTGAAAGGGGATGTGGAACCTTTAGACAACTTCTCCCGAACTGGGACCCCTTGGCGGCCACCGCAGCAGCGAAGCTGTGCCCAGAGCAAGCACAGAGCGCAGACGGAGATGGGGAGCGCCGGAATGGCAGGCCGCCTCCCCAGATTTTCCATGCATTGTGAATAAACAGTCACCAGCTATGGACCTCCAATCCAGAGAGGTCTGACTTTAACTGTTACCAAGAGCACAGGGGAAACAGGGAAAGCAACGCATCTCAACTCTTCCCTGCTGCCCATTGTACCTACCCATAAATGGCATCTTTATCTCTCTTTAAAGCGTCATTGACGGAGGAGCCCATGCTGGGGGCCATGGCGTTGGTATGAGCTGTGTGCGGGTACTGATGCGAGTGCAGAGGAGGCCCATGGTTCAAGTGGTGGACCTGCTGCATGGACCTGGCCGCATGCGGGTCCCCATACATCGTGGAGGGGATGCCTACTCCATCCATGCCCCCGTAATGGGGTAGATCGTCGTACTGCATGACAAACAGGAGAGAAAGAAGGTTCAAAATGCCAGGCAGGCAAACAGGGGAAGGACAGGGCTTTGAGCTTATATAAGGTCAGTCCAGCTGGGTCTTTCAACCCGGATTTCGGGGTGGCCTTGCATCTCTAAAGTTGAGATTTCTATTTCTAAAATAAATTTAAAGTAAAATTTCTAGTGTTCTCAGTTTCTAGGGTTCTCAGTAAGACTCCACTGAGATGAAGCTTCTTGCCCTAACTTGTATCCCTATTCACTAGTTCAGAAATTCAGAATCCTTTGGCAAGGAAGGAAGGAAAAAGGAAAGAAAGAGAAGCATTCTCCCAGAGGGCAGAAGGTAAAACGTGCATGTCTCTGGGGGAGGAAATTGAAAATCACAATAATAAAACTTGCCAGGACAGTGCAGTAAACACGCCTAGTTTCACAGCCCCTTCATATCAGGGGGAATTAAAAAAAAAGTTACGATGGAAACAGCTCCGCCAAGCACGTGAATTCAGGCAGGCTTCTCATTTTATTTTCCAGCCAGAGTGGGGCTGGGCAGTCCAGCAAGACATTGCATATTCCTAGCTTTCCAAGACAAACTCTGCTAAATCATATAAAATAAACTGACCCCATTATAAGTGAAACTCAAATAAGGGGTCGCTTTCCCTGTACCTTACAGCCAAATTCAGAATTGGACAACTCCCCGCCTCAACTTAAAGAAAATCTATAATTAAAGAAGTTAATATGTCTTTATTTTTAAAAACTTACAAACTTTCTCCCAGACTACAGATCAATGAGGCAATGTTACTCCTTAGGTTTTAAAGCAAATTCAAAACCAAATGCACATACAACGCCCCATCTTTCTTGTCCAGAAAAACTACTTTCATAATGTCATTATTTTTTACCTTGCATTTAGCTTCTTAGGTTTTTAAAAATGCTTCCTTTCAGGCAAGAGCTTTTCCAAAGATGTGAAAGTGCCTAAAGTGAAATGATTTTCAAAGAAAAAAGAAATTGCCACTTTCATCTCCTAAAGCCAGAGGTGTGAAAAGTTTGGAAGAACGCTGACATTTGCCTGAACCAAAGGAGTAAAGAAAAATGTGTCAGCCTAGTAACTTTCTTTTGCAAACAGGGCTTTGAGGGCCAGGACACAAATTATGCAAGGAAGGCTTTTTGTAGACCCCCTTTCTTTAAGAAACTACCTCACTCGGATTGTCATTGTCTCACTTAACCCTCACTACATTTCCATTCAAATAGAAATATTGGAGAAATTAGTATTGCATTTTAAAAGTGAGTAGCTGTGTGCTTAGTATTCAATTAGCACAAAATTCACCTAAGAAAAACTTGCAAAGTATTGACTTGCATAAAAATCCATACAAACTAATACTACTTTTAAATGATGAATGTTTCTCTAGCCGAAAAACACATGCAGTGTATTATGACAGTTATTTGCTTTAAAAAGCTAAGTACTTCAAAAGATATTAAAGATAACCATAATCAATAACATAACATATCAGAAGTTTCCAGTTGTTTATTTTAGCTTAAAAATAACTTTAAACTTCTGAGTCTTGGATGCTCAAATTAGAGTATTTTGTATTTAGCAGTCCTTTTAAACAGATGATTGCTCAGATGTATTTTTATTTATATAGCTGTTGGTAAGGAATCTGTAGAAAACTTGATTATGTGAATTAGCAACTACAAGTTACATACATACATCTACAGATGCACTAAATAAATCCTCTCTTCTTTAGGCCACGGCTTTAGAAGCCTCATTCAAAATAAGAGAAAGAAAAAAGGAAACTTTTAAACAGTGTCTTTCAGCCACGTTTCAATTTAATCTCACATTTGAGTTCCACAATTGTTTTTAATACGTACCCTTTGCGCCATCGGCCTCTCTGGCTCCCTTCCTACTTCAACTTCTAATATATCCTCTTTAAGGCCAGTGTGAAAAGAAACAAATACGCAAACTCCCCCGGAAAAAAAAAAAAAAAGCACGACGAAAAATCCCTTAACGTCGTCTCCAGCAATGTGAGCTGCTGGTCCCAGATCTTCGGTCTACCGGACCTGAAGCCAAGCGCCCGAGTCACTGAGCATAAAAGCGCTCCGTTTCCAAGACAGCGGCGGGGGCAAAAAGAAAAAAAGGGGGGATAAAAAGCAGATCTTCTTTCCCCAAAAAATCAGTTAAAAAATAAAAAAAAGAGCGCCCCTCAGACCCAACTACCAAATCTCATGGCTTTCTGCCACTCCAGCTGTCAATCACAGGCGAGGTTGTCAACGTGGTGAATGAATGATCATCCGCTCTGTCTTCTTCTGGTCAGAACACCTCAAATGTTAATATTCAAATGCACAAAGCCCTAGCGCTTTCTTCCCTTGAATCAGTCCTAATTCCTAATCAGTTTCTCTCTTCTCTCGCTCTTTCTCTTTCTCTCCCTCTCTCTCCGTCTTTGCAACTGCTGCACTGGAGGGAGATTAGAGAAGGAGGGTTAAAAAAAATGTCTGTCTGAGTTTGTCTTAAAGGAGCCACGATCGATGCTGTCCGCTTGCAGTCCCCGTGCGTGTGTAAAGTGTGTGTTGCACAGGCGGAGAGGTGGATTCCGACCAGAATGCTAGAACCCGGAAGTAGTGGTGGCCATAACAGGTCGCGTCTTACACAATGCATTGGGCTGCAGCAAGTAGGTTCCTCCGCAGGGGTGGGTGCGCGTAGCGAGCTCTGTCCGCACTGGAGAGGCAGAAAGGCGCTCCATTAAATCGCACGCACAGGCACAAACACCACACACCCCGTGCACACGCACACAAACGCAGGCAGCAGCACCCAGCCGCCGGTTTTATTTTCCATATTCTTTTTCTCTCCCTCCCCCTGCAGGCTCTCTCCCAAAAGAGGACTCTCTTGAAATAAATTGGGAATAAACGCGGGCCAGGCAGCAGCAGGAATTATTTTGCTCAGGGCTCCGTGCGTAGACTTCAAGACTTTCCTCGAAATTATTGGGGTCTGCCAGTATTTTTTTTCTGGGGAGGTGGGTGATGCGCTAAGTACTGGATTCTCAGAACTGGACGCCCCAAGGAGAAAAGTCAAACTGGGAACAAGGAGAAGAGAAGCCGGCGCAGGGCTGGGAGAGGCTCTGCTAGGAGTCCCGAGAACGTAGGGCGGAGGTAGCCCGAGCTTTCTGCAGACCCAGCCTAGAGATTTTCGCTGTCAGAGGTGGACGCCCGGACGGAGGACAGGAAATGCTTGCATTTTGTCACTTTGGGTCTGGACGCCCCCACCTCCACGTCCCGGCAGCTCCAGCCCCAGCCCTGGCGCCCCGCACGAAGTGAGAGAGGAAGGGAGGGAACAATGAGCTGGGCTCTGGGAATGTGCCCCCAGCGCCTGTTTACAAACACCAAGCTATTTATGATCGCCGGAAAGCGAAACCCGACGCGGGCTCCCAGCAGTCAGACCTCGCAGGCGGGCGGGCGGAGCCCGGTCCGAGAGCCGCAGGGAAAGAGGCTCCTTCCCTAACCCGCTGCTAGGGAGGCAGCCGTGCGCCCAGGGCGCGGCGCGATGCGGCCGGAGCGCTGGGTTCAGGCTGCGGCCTCGGCGCCTTTGTCTTCGAGGCGCCAAGGGGCTTCAGCCTTGGCCTCGCCGGAGTCTGGAGGGTCTCTGCGCCCCCCCGGTCTTCCTCCGGCGACGCCCGGCGCTTTTCTCCCCAGACTTCTATCCCCATACTCCGCTTTTCTGTTCCTGACTCTGCTCGGCAACAACTCCTTATGCCAGAGAAAAAAAGAAACCCAGTTCGGGAGCTGAGATTTCAGACAAAAGCTGCCCGTACCTAACAACTCAGAGTCTCCAAGCCAGCCACCGATTTCAACTTTCTCCCCGTAAATATCTATTCTCGGGGCTTACATGTTTCCCTTCTTTTTATTCTCCCATCCTAAGTTAGCCCTTTAATATTATATTTAGTGGAGTTATTTTCCTCTTTATTTTTCTGCCCGCCTGGCTTGGGTCTGCCCAGGCGCCTCAGCGCAAGCAGCTGGAAAGCTCACATCCCAGGCAGGGCTCGCAGCTCGCTCGGCTCGGAGAAGATTTTCTCCCCCTCCCTCCAGCTGAAACCTCGCAGAAAACTCCCCCTGCGGTCGACTGGAAAATGAGCTCACCCAAATCTCGGTAGGCAGCCGTGGAGGAGGGCTCGGCCAATCAGGAGACGCCCCCGCCCAGGCGGCCTCGCATTGGCTGCGGGGAAAATCAATTATCAAATAATCGATCAGCAGGGAGCTTCGATCTGCCGGGAATGCAAACTGCCAGTCCGGATTCCCGCCCTGATGGTGGCCAAAAGGCTGACTCTCTCAAAGCTGCCGGCCCGCGCTCTCATGCCCTCCCCCCCATCCCACCCGGCCAGCTGCGGACCAAACCCTCACCCCCGAGGGGGGATAGCTGGTGGAAGAGTTTTGGAAAAGATTAGGGGCCCCCTTCATGCGGACGTTGTTTGGAAAAGGTTAGCTCACAGATGCAGTGAAGCCAACTCTTAGACGCAAAGTAAGAAAGAGCATTTGCATCCGTCCGCGCAATAGAACTCAAGTTTCCGTTGAGTGGGCTTGTGAGGAGCAGGGGACCCGGGCGATCATCAGAACGTAGAGCAGCATTCTGTTCCACCGAGCCCTAGTAGTCTCCCTAAGCGACGTCCATGGCTTCTTCCAGCGCTCCGCAGGGGCCAGCGCAGGGTTGATTCATCCCAACCGTGGAGCGTTCGCGGAAAGCCAAGCAGATGAGCCTTCCCAGCCTCCCCGCCCCCAACACTGAACTTGCTCCTTGTATGCCTGAAGGGTCGACACGCGTTCACCCCAAACCTTCAGGTGCGCTTTGAGTTAGAAGAGCTCAACGATTAAAACAGAAAAATCCCCCAGGAGCTCTTAGCACTTACCTGTCTTTGCTTTCTTCTTTCTTAATTTTTAGTTTCTGTCTCCAGTACTCAAATTTTAGGTTCATCACATGAAAATGTACTGTTTGGTGACACAGTTACCCTGATACATCGCTTGGGAGGTTGAGGCAGGCCTGAGATTGAAAGTCAGCAGTGGGGAAAGCCAGGTGAGTTATCAGAGCCAAAGCCCAGGTCTGATACCGCCCCCCCCCCACCACCACCAAGTGAATTTGAAAGCAGAATTTCAAGCCGAGATGGAGCCTTGTGAATTCAGAAAAGAGATTTTTTTGTTCAATTTTGCGAAGCTGAGCTGGCTAGGCCAGGCAGCGCAATACTTTTCCGAGCATGGGGAGGACTGCGCTGGGCCGGCGGCAGCGAGCTGTTGCCCAGCTCCGGAGGGCTGGGGCCACACCTGAGAGCTCCGAGGCCGCTCCAGGGGGTGGGAGCGAGGTCCCCCAGCAGGCCTGCCAGGGATCAGCGCTGCTGGGGGGAGGAGGATGGGGGTCCAAGCAGACTTCCACCAGGGCACGTCTACGTTTGAGGTCCTTAAGTGAGCTACGAAGGAAATTATGTAAGTATAATTCAACTGAGAGAAATTTACTGCGAAATCCCCTCAGATGACCATGGTCTAGAGGTTCTTGGTCAGACTTAGGCAATGGTCTTGGAGATATCTAGACATGCATCCACCTTTTCAGATTTGGAAAAGATCAGTTTTTATATATACAGTATATATTTTTTGACAACAGGGTTTACTTTATATTGTTAACTTCCAGTAACTTTTTCTTTTGTTTTCTAAAAGAAGTGAAAAATGGAAGGTTCAGGTAAGTTGCTCTTTGCAAACATAACCAGTATTCTTCAAAGCACAGGAGTGATTATGTGTGATTATCCACGATGTGTCAATTTTACATTAAAATGTATTTTAAATTACCTACACACAGATTTTTCCTTACAGAATGTGATACTTAGAGTTTGTGAGTTTAAACTCATAATAGTTTTGAGAAGTGTCTTTTCATTTGTAACTGTGAACCTAATACTCCTTCAAGGCCTTCATACGATTAATTCTGAACAATCAAGGGACTAAAACACTTTTACAATGTAATTACAGTAGTACAAATTGTTTGCCCAAACCTCATTCTGGATAAGGATTTTACAATTAGCAAACAGTTATTACAGTTGGTGCTCGCTGAGAGAAATTACAGAGAGGACATCTAGAGTTGCAATATAATAGCTATAAAAAAACCTCTCTTTTAACAGGGTAGCAATTAATCAACTATTAAAAGGGAGAAGTGAAGGGACAGTTCTAGATACAGTATCTTGGAAAACTATTGCAGATATGGATGTCAGTTCTGTGGCAGTTCCTGTCCTAAGCTTATTTCAGATCATTGCTTCTTAAGGCAATAACACTTTTATTTTACAAATACTTGGCCTGGAGAAGGGTTCTGGCACTTGGCTCCAGCTCTTGTGATGCAGGCCTTCCTTTCTGTTTCCCTCTCATATCCCGAGCATCTTCCCCAAGATAGAGACCAGCGACTAAAAAACAGGCAGGCTGAGCCCTTGGTCTCTATTGTTTACACATCCTCTAAGGAGGCATTTAAAGCCAGCAGGGCTCCTCCGGACTGTTGGTATAGTGGCCTGGGAGAACGCTCTTGTAACTTTCTGTTCTCCAATAAGGAATTGTCTTTGGAAAGCCCACATCCTGAATTAAGCTTTTGTCTCAAAAGTTCACCCTGATGAGTCAGCTGAAAAACCCTAAATTAAAGAATCACCTCTTAAGGTAAAATGTGTGTGTATTTGCCAGCCCAGAATAAACAAAAGCCCGTTAATCAATGGAGTATGGCAGCTGTGTTCACAGTGTGATAAGGGTTTATCATCTGCCACCTAACTTTAAGATGCCTGTTAAAATGTTTTGATTGCGTTTTAGGTTGCCCTGTGGCGTGTGGGGTTGGGGTTTGCACTTCAAGAACATCCATCCTCCAAATCTGTTCCCACATTAGTATTTGCATTTCAAAAAGCCAGAAATAAGGGGAAGGGAGTTTAAAGAAAATAAGATTTGAAATCAGTAGAGATACTAGAGGAATGTTGGAGATAAGAGCCTGAATGTGATGGGAGAAAAGATACTAAGAAGTCAAAACTAATGAATGGCTTTGAGAAAAGTGAAATAAACTAGTTAGAGGCCTATTAAAAGGAGAAGCCTGGTTAGATGATATGAAAGGGGGTCACCCAGGGGGATTAGAGAGGACGTTAATCAAGTGCCCCAAAGCACTCCAGGCTATAAGGATTCCCAGATTTGTTTACTGCATTTTGCTTCAGAAAACAACGCATGTCTGGTCCAATTCAGAAGTCGATGAGAGGTCATCGAAGGCACTTTGACCATTGCAGGGGAAATACCTAACTCACTCTGATCTGAGTGGAAAACACTAAAGTTTAGGGAAAAGAAACCTTTTGGGGGAGGAGGGGCTTCCCTTACTATTTTTCTATTTCAGATCATTAAAACACTTTGGTCTCTAGAGGGGGAAAAACTACACTGGTTAACATAATTACTAGCTCTGACATTTTCAGAACTTATAGAGGTCTTTTATTAATTAAATGGAGGGCTTAATAAAATATTCCTAATAAAATTTATGGTTGTCTTAAAACTTTCTAAACAGTGCTATAAATTCTTAATAAAATTAACTGGGAAATGAGTTATTAGCCCACACTTTACCCCTCCCCCAACTTTGACATAAGAAGTACCTGCAGAATGGAAAGAAATAGAAATCTTTTAGTTAAATATAATTAGCCAAAATCATGCATTGTACTAGAAAAGGTAAAGTCTTGACTGTCATTTCTATCTAATGGCCTTGGCCAACAGTAAACCCCAGAAGACACCCACAAAACTTCATGGAAGGAATTACTGTATTTAACTGTATTTTATATACATGTGCATATATGCATATATAAACCTATTTGAAACACAATCTTTAATTTGCTGGATTAAGTTACATGTTAAATGTTTTTAATAAAAAGCATAAACGCATGCAAAATCATAAGATATAGAATCTTGATGAGTTAGGCTGTAAATAACTTTATCCATTAGACGATAATTAAAATGAAATACCTTATAATTTTTTCAATTTAATTTCTTCAATGATAACTTATAAATGATGAATTTCTCATAACCTTCCCCTCATTAATAACTGTGGATGTATTTTGGGAAGCTGCATTTTGTTGAGCACATATATAAAATTTTTCCGAAACACTATTTCAAAACCTTGGCAAGTTATCCTAAGTTTTGAGATACTTCTTGGCTTCACAGATCCAATACTGGCTGACCTGCTGAATAAAAGAACAACACACTCCAAACCTCATCAAACACCCTTGGTGAATTGTTAAGCATTTGAAGACTTGATCTTTTGTGCCGTCTACTGGACAATGGAAAAACTGCAGCCTAGATGGCAAACTTTTCCCTTGACCGGTGTTTAACAATGGAGGGGGAGGGGTAAAGGGAGAGAGGTAGAGGGGTGATTGGGTGCTGGCATAAGACCTAAGTGAGCCTCTCAGAACAGGGCTTTCGATCTAATCGCATTTTTTTGTGGCTCAAATTGAAGGGAAGACATTATGTCTTCTCTCAACCCACTTGACTAAGGTTAGGTTAAGATCCACATTCAGGACAGCTGTGTGTGTATACATGTACAATAGTTTAGGAGAAAAAAAGAAAAAGTGGACAGGCTTAGCATTCTGAGAAATAACTTGAAGTTTCTTTTTTTTTCTCCTTCTCCTCCTCCTCTTCCTCCTCCTCTTCGTTCCTTTCCTTCTCCTCCTCCTCTTTCTCTTTCTCCTTCTGTTCCTTCTTGCTTTCTGAAAGGATCTTGCTATGTAGTGTGGGCTGGCCGTGAGTTCACTATGTAGCCCAGGCTGGCCTCAAACTCATGGTAATCCTCCTGTCTCAGCCTCTCAAGTGCTGGGATTACAGGCATGCACACCTGGCAGCATTCTGAAAAATAAAATGTGGGTAGTGGCTTGATTTTGAGTATAAAGTTGCTTGACGTGTATTTACTACCTGGATAACGGTGGATGTAGAAATTAATTCTTGGGATTTGGAAAGTGACATTACGAAGTACTTGAGAAAATAAGTTTTGGGAGAGGGAGTGAAACTGTTAGTCAAAACCATGTTAGTGCAGTTCCCTTTCTGGCAATTGTGGATGAAAATGTGAAACTTAAAGTGTTTTTCACTGGGAAAGCATAAATGGGGGAAAGTGTGGGTAACAGTCACAGTTGAATGCCATTAAATTGCAGAGGCTGTTTGATGTTCTTGTAAGCATTAAAAATACTGTATACATTTTGGTTATGACTTTAAAAATACTTATGAAGCCCATCATTGTGGAATCTTTGGAGTGGGAAAGAAACCACGAATCTAACTCTGACCTCCATTTGATACTGACATAGTTTTTGAAGTAATTTCAATGAGTAGAGAGAAGCAATTCTGTTAAGAAAGCCATATATATATGAAGTCAAACTGATTTTGGTAAAATAGGCACAAGACTTTGGTACAAGAGCTATTAATGTTGTTTCTGCTTTTCTGAACTTAAAATTCTGTATGACATTTTAATAAAACCTAGAATATGTGAGTGCCTATTAGGGTGCCTATTATGAAAACCCAATAGTGAAAAAGACAGCTTCAGTATGTTTTATTGAGGCATAAATATATTTCAGTGGTGTTCTTCAAACATACATTGTCATGGAGTATGATGTCAAAGTGATTTTAAGTCTTGAATTAAGTGTAGATACCCTGAGGAACCTGGGCTGACATTCACTACTCACAGCATGGCAAGCTCAGGATGGTTTCAGTTCATTTTTGCAGACATGGGAGGGTCGGCATCTTAGAAACTTTAGCATGAGCAACTGAACTGTGAATCATTATTATTTTGTGAGCTTCTATTTGATCCAGATTTTAAAACAAAAAGCCCCCATGACAATAGCTGCAAAGCAGAAAAGTCTTCCAGGAACTGACCACAAGTGAACAGAGCTTATGCCGCGTATTCTAAGCTAATAATGGGAGCACAGGACTGAGCACTGGAAGACGTCTGGCAGCCTGCTCTAGTCACCCACTGCAAACATTTACCTTTGAAGCAACTGGATAAGCCAGATTGGTCATGGTTCGCCTCCATGTTCGCCTTGATAAAGGGGCGCAATTTGTGAAACCTTCAGGCAAAAATCCAGTGATTATTCAAAACTAAATATTTTAACATTTCATTGAGTTAGCTAATGAATAAGAAAAACATCGAAGGCTTCCTGCAGCTCACAAAGAATTCTAGCGGCAGAAAATACAAGGCGGGAAGACCCAGAAACCGAAGGACGCCTGCTGAGCAGTTATTGACTTGTGAATATCTGAAAATGTACTCTTCTGTGCCCTTATTTAAAAATGAAAAATAAATACCATCTTTCCTTGTCTTTTGTTTTGAAATGAACTTCACATTATGCATAGCTTACTAAAAACATTTTTTTTTTTTTCTGAGTAGTTTATGAGTAAAAGGGCCACTTGGAAAGCGGGTAACTAATGGGACAAGTCCACGTATCAACTGCAAACAACTGGGTTCGAAGCCGAGCCCACAGCCCTGCTCCCCAGCGCACGGAGGGTAACTTCATTCCCTGGCAGCTCGGGGGTCACTTCCGGGGCGCTCATGCATGCAGGAGCAGTCAGCTCAGCAGGACTGCCGCGCGCGACAGCGACAGCCCGTGTGCGTGGAGGCGCGGATCCCGAGGTGCCCGGCCCCGCGCGGTGGTCTGGTTCCAGAGCGCCCCCGCCCCAGCTCCCGCGCCAGCCTGCACCCCGGGAGGCGCTGGCTTCCCGGGCCGAGTGGGGCCGCGCCAGACTGCTTCCAGCGACAGAGGCTGCAGAGCGTGCTCACGCCTGGCTGGCTCTGGGGAGGTGTTGGGGGAACCTGTCCCCTGGGAAGAGGAAGGGCTAAAGGGGTGCTCCCCCCTGCTGGCTGCCCCCCTTGCGGGTCTCCGAGGCCGCCACCTATTTCCTCCTCGGAGCTCCCAGAAGGCGGTGGGTGGCGGCCGGTGAGCTGCAGCTGCAGACTGGGAAGTGCGCGGCCAGGACGCGGCGGCCCAGGCCGATGGCCCGGGTGTCCCGCTGCTTTGGAGGGTGCCTTTTATTCCCCGCGGACTCCAGGGCGCCCTGGTCTCTGCCTCTTGGCCTAATTCTAGAAGCTTTCTCCCCAGTTCTTGGACGGCAGCCCCTCTGCAGGAGCCCAGCGTGCAGTCCACCTCCCGGTTCCTCTCCGGAGGTCAAGTGTCCTCTGCGAGTCTGTTTAGCACGTGGGAGCCTTTGGGGACCCCCGCCGGCCCTCTCGGAGGGGTTGGAACAAGCGCGCGTTTGTGGCTGAGGTTATGATTTCAGGTGCGCTAATGGCTCTCCAGGCCCCGGGAGGACCCTGGGGAGATGGTTGCTTTTCCGTCTCCCGGGTTCCTGCCACCGCGAAAAGGCTGGGGAGGCACCGCTAGGGCGAGATCGGTGCGCCCCTCGCCTCGCTGGCGCTCTCACCTAGGAAGGAGGAGAGGTGGAGGAGGAGGAGGAGGTGGAAGAGGAGGAGGAGGGGGTGGAGGAGGAGGTGGAAGAGGAGGAAGAGGAGGTGGAGGAGGAGGAGGAGGAGGTGGAGGAGGTAGAGGAGGAGGTGGAGGAGGAGAAGGAGGAGGAGGAGGTGGAGGAGGAGGAGGAGGTGGAGGAGGTGGAAGAGGAGGAGAAGAAGGAGGGGAGGAGGTGGAGGAGGAGGTAGAAGAGGAGGAGGTGGAGGAGGAGGAGGAGGAGGAGGAGGAGGGGGCACGGCAGAGGACTGCGGCGCCAGCAAAGGGAGGAAAAGCGAGTCAGTGACATGAACGACAAAAGGGGAAAGCTCTGGGGAGTCTACAGAGACAGAGGCAAGGAATGACCCAGAGCTGCAATCCCGTTGCGCCAGGACACAGTAAAGCTGCCTGGCTCCCGCGCCTGTACCGCCTGGCCAGGGAGCTGGAGCTGTGTTCCTTCCCTAGTGTGGCTTTCAGCTTGGCAGAAGTCTTATCTTAGACTTTGCATACTCGCATGTTGACTTTTCTAAATAGTTCTGCGTGTATCCCCTTGGTGACGTTTGCAAACAATCCCTTGGAGGAAGCCTGGAAAAAGAGTCCTAATGTCCAGTCATCTGAGCTGGGGTGGAGTGATTGCTTGGCAGCCTGGCACCCACTTTTCACAGCCCCTTCCCCACCAAAGAGAACTTCTGAGCTTGTAAGACTCTGGGTTCCATTTGCACATTTCACAGATACCAGACAAGTGACATAGTTGCTTCTCTCTCTCTTCTGAATGCTTCAAGCTTCTTTTTAAAATACCTTTCTCTAATTCTTAAAAATAAATCTCAACTAGGGCCAGGAATTTAGCTCAGTGTGAGGCCGTGAGTTCGATCCTTGGTAACCAATAAATAAATACATAAATAAAGAGATAAGTAAATAAATCTCCACTAATGAAGAAGACTTGCCTGTATTCTTTTCAAAAGAAGCTTGGAGATCCGGGCAGTCCCTGTCTTGTACCAGAAGCACCTGCCGTGGGTGCTGGTGGTGAGTAGGGGTTGGAGTGTGCAGGGTGCCTGGGTGATGACTTCCTTTCCTGTGCCCCAAAACTGACTTGCTATCAGCAACCATGCTGACTGGGGGAAGCACCTCTATGCAGAGCATCGAGACAGAATAGAATGGGAGAGCTTATGTTGGATGGTGATGGTGGTAGGAGTCTCCTACAGCTCACTCTTCTACTGTCCCTCCAGAAACAAAAAGCAGAACAAACAAATGAACAAATAAATACTTTGTGTTTTTTGCAGCTGAGCGACCCTAGGCACAAAACTGACCGAGGTCACCCAGGGGAGGAGGAGGGCATGGAAGCCTCTATTTACCCCAGGGTTAAAAGGAACACCACAGCTTGTCTTTAAGACTTCAAGGAGCATCTTAGAGAGACTCAACCTCCATGGGGATGTCTAGGTATTAACTTTACGAAAACAGCATATTACTTCTACTTACCCAAAGGTCAGCACCACTTCCCCCCAGGTACCATACCCTGAAATTTTAAAAATCTTGAGTTTCAAATTTTACTCCTAAAACAAACCTGTTATATATTGTCCTCTTCTCCCATCCCTTGGTTATTTTTAGGCTATAATGCCAATGTTTTTTATTTCTTTGGATTTCCTCCTGGTTTGGGGGTTTTGCACAGTAAGCTGCTTGCAGGCTGGATATATGTAGTTATTTGTGTTTTTTTTATAGTTTAAACGTTCATTTTTTTAAAAAGTCTTTGAATAACCTCAAATACTCTTTGATGTTTAAGCTTTAGTAATATTCTGTGTTTGAGTATAGCTTTTTTGATAAGTTTATCACCTTTTTTATAAACTTCTTGATTCACAAATCTTTCAGTTGAAAATTTTTCCAGCAACCCAGATCTTTTCCATTTGTTTAATGATGATAGACTGAACCTGAAGAACAATTTTTTTTTTGTCTTTTTATTTTTTATCAGTACCAGGGATTGAACTCACAACCACACACTTGCAAGGCAGGCGCTTATGCCGCTGAGCTAAATTCCCAGCCCCTGAAGAACAATTTTGAAAATTGGTCTTATAAGAAAAAGCTAATGTCCACAGCTAAGATTTCTCATAGGGTCAATGGAGAAGAGTAGCAGAGTTTGGTCTCAAATTTTAGATTAGGCACCAATGGGTTGATGGAATTCAAATGTGTTAATCACCTGCAAAATTAATTGATTATATTGTTTTAATCTCTAGGTACATTTTTGATTTAATGATCATATGTTATAAAATTTAAAAATGTACAACTTCAAAATCCAAAAAATTAAAAATTAGCATGTCTCTATCTATGTATGTATCTATTTATTCCAGAGAAAATTTAAAAGGGTTGATATTTTGGAATTGGGTTGGAGAAAGTTATCCTAAAGCAGTAAGTATTTCCTTGATTTGATTTAGACATTTATATTCAGCTTTACAGATTTTACCTTCCTAATGTCCTCTGGATTGTTATCTTGTTATTCTTTTAAACATAGTCCCACCTAAAATAAAACCTGTAAATGTTTAAAAAGTGAAACTTTATACTGCAGTAACAATTTCTTGTCTGTTTTTCCCAATGTAGCATACAATAAAGTTTAAAATAGTGTATTTGGAGATAGTCTCCTAAATAAACTTTTCCTTACTTTGGGAAGCAATAACCTAAAGACATTTTCAAAATGCCATATTCTTAACAGATTTTGCTTTCTGTATCTGCGTGACCAAATGCCACTCAACAAGCATGGCACAGTGGCCACTGAAAGAAGAGTATTCAGGCAGAGCCCGGTGACACAAGGCTGTAATTCCAGCACTGAGGGAAGTTGAGGCAGAAGGGTGACAAGATCAATAGGAGTCCCCCCTGGGCAACTTAGATCGCATCTCAAAATAAAATATAAAAAGGTCTGAATGTGTAGCCCACTGGTCAAGCACTGACCTCCAGAACTGAAAGAAAAACAAAATATTTAGTATGGAAAGAAATGGACCCTAATGACTAAGAAAAAATAAATTCCAATTTTAGGCGAAGGAATTAATACAGTGTTTTACAATTCAGCTTTTATTTAAAGTAGAGTTATATCTTATATTTCTGTAAATTTTGATATCAGTAAACTCTATTAAAGACGCTATTTCATAAGACAGCATTTAGAAATATAATCATTATAATTGTAACATTGGTATGGTCCAAACTTGGGATAATAATGGGCAATTTTTGGAAAATATATGATTCTATAAAAATGCCAATAATTTTTTATAAAACCCTTCAAAATACTGAGGTCTGAAATTCTTGTGTTGTATGTTCTAGAGAAGAAAAACACAAATACTTTTACTTTGAACTTTTTTCCCCAATTTATTCACTGTCATGGCTTCTTTTTTGGTTTTGTCTCCTTTTTTTTTTTTTTTTTTTTTTTTTTAAATTTTCCTGACAGAGAAATCGAGCATCAGAAGAATTTCTTAATATCGTCAGGCACTGTAACCTCCAGACAAAACTAAGTTTTAAAATGACTAAGTCTTTGTGGAAAGACACACATGAAAGGACTAATGTAAATAGAAAGACGTCAGACGCACAGGATTATTTTATTGTTATTGTTGTTACATTAGCTTTTGACTAGATATTTGTGGTATATTTTAGAAGTTAAAATATTTCATTTTTTCTCCACTGACCCGACACCATTTCAAGGTTCTCTGTTTTACATTTCTCTGGGTTTTTTTTTTTTTTCTTTATAGCACCACACACTGAATTTGTAAGGCAAGAGGTAATTTATATGAAGATTTAACTTTTTATGTCTAAGAATGCTTAGGTATTTCAACGGTTAAATGCTATTTGATTGAAACTTTTATTCCAATTTATTTCTAGGTAGGAAATTGAGTTAAAGTAATAATTTA